GCGTATATAAATGGTAATAGAATGGTCAAGGCTAAGTGTTAAGCTTTGGTCTGTGTAACTAACTGAATGAGAATTTTAGTGTCACTAGGTTATTATCTTCCTTTAAAACAATTTATCTCTTGGGACATGTAATATCATTATTTATATTTCTATACTAATATTATTTTCTTTTTTCTCCATATCCGATATAAGATTTAGAACACTTCAAAATTTTATTTGAATCTTTTTTCCTTAATTCAAACTATCACTAATTCAAGCCTTTCCTTACGTTGAATGGCCAAGGAGCGGTGTGACATTAGGCTCTTCCCATTCTTTTTTTTCTTAGGTCTTCAATTTCTTGAATTTGGAAAAAAATTATTTGTAAATTATGACAAGGAGCCATATAAAATTGTAAAATTTTCACTTATATGTTGTAAAATTTTTCCTTGATTTTGTAAAAATAATTTATAACATAACTAATATTTAATAATAATAAATAACAAGTGTGCAGTATAACAATTTTTTTAAGTGTCATCACATAATGCTTTTTGGACAAAGTGACAATTCTCTTTTGATTTTAAAAGTACATATTTTTTAAATTGAAAAATATTTTTGAGGTATGGTATTTTAAAATGGACTGAGACAAAATACTTTTATCATATGTTTTTAATATATAATTTTTCAACTTCGTTCTTTTATAAGTTGCTTTTGAAATAAGGGCTTATGTGAAAATTAGAGCCTTAGAAATTGATATAAATAAGAAAATAAAATAAAAAATTAAGTAACAAAATTAAGAGATGAACGATTCAAATTTATATTATTTTTAAAATAAGGGTTTATGTGAAAAAAAAAATTAGAATGTTAAAAATTAATTTAAATAAGAGAATAAATTAAAAAATTAAAATAGGATTTAAATAACGAAGTTAAGAGATAAATGACTAAAATTTGTGTGTGTGTGTGTGTGTATTTTTAGATATTTGTGTGATTTTTTTATATATGTGCATGTGTGTGCATATATAAGTGTGTGTAGATACGTATATATATGTGTGTGTATATTCGCGTATATATTGTCTTGTGAAAAGTTGAGATAAAGTTTTTTTTTTTCTTTTAACATAAATGAAATAAGTGCTTTTAAGGCTGAACTGTATTTAATTTAAAAATACAAACTTCACATTTTATAATATATATTTTTAAAATATAATTTAAAAAATAACACTTATAAAATTTTAATTTAAAAAAAAAGACATATGTCACTAAAATTAAAAAAAATAGCTCATCGGAGTTTGAGCTTTAAAATAAGAAATTTTAAGGTCAGAGCAGCAGAAAAATAATACTTGTACAAAATTTTGACTTTGAAACAAGAAGTGCACCCCTGTCGGCAGAGAATCTTTTCGCAAAGTCAGGTGCTTCATATCACTATCTAAAATAATAATTAAAACAATAAAAATGCAAAAACAAATGACCCCTCGGACGTGTGAATAGACCTAAAAAAATTCCTTATACGACTCTTCCTCTCCATGTTTCTGTTTAATTTATCTTCCCATTGACTAAATTACCAAAAGGGGAACTCTTTTTCAGCTTTTCTTTAACTAACTCTGAAATATTACCTAATTTTCAAAAGCAAAAATAAAATAAACAAATTTGACTTGTTTATGGTGTTTTTTAATAAGTTCACAAATAATTTAGTAAAAATTTTTTTTTATCGGTAAGGAAAATTTATTGAACTTTCCAAGTAAAAAAAAATGGGAGTGGAATTTTTAAAAAATTATAAAATTTTAATCATGGGATATTTTTTTAAAAAATCATAAATAATTTATTACACATATTTGATAATTAGCAATTATTTTCATTTTCGAATTTAATTGCAATGGAAGCAATATTTCAAAATCTACTCTTAACACGGTTAAAGGTATGTTTGGATAAAATTGTTTTAAAAATATTTTTAATAGTGTTTTTTAAAATTAATAATCAAGTCTATTTTTTAAATTATTTTTGTGACACCAAAGGGGGGTGAGTGTGTGTGACATCTTTAGACGAATCTCACGTTGATAAAACACAAGAGAGATCCTGGGCTTTTAAAGATTAGAGACTACTACTGAACAACTTGAGTTTAAGCATTTTGGGTCAATAGTTTAGACTTAACAAGTTGTTAGGGCCAGTAGTCTTGAGTCATTACAATTTTTTAAAAATATTTTCAAATATTCTAAAATAATTTTGTAGTAATTTTTAAATAAAAATACTTTTTGTAAAACAAATAAAACAAACGTGCCCAAAATTAAGATGGCGGAGAATTTCGTATTGATTAATATAATATCAACGTACTGTGATTTATTAAAAGATAAAGGACTAAATTAAGTGGTGTCCGCGCACGGGAACTTCACCGGTTGTTCTTCACACGGCCAAATCTCTGTTAGCTGTTTGGTGAGTTGAAATTTATTTTGAATTTTTTTACATGAAAAAAGAATTCATGTTCTTTTTTGTTATTTATTTGGTTGGTGTAGAAAAAATGGCATTTTTATTTGTCTACTTAAAGAAAATCATATACGAATGAATGTAAATAAAATAAAAAATAATTTTAATAATCTTTTCCCCCTTATAAAATGTAATATTTTTCTTCCACATCACATCCTTCACTTTAATTCGCTTCAAATCTTCTTCATTGTTTGGTAACTTAACCTCCGTTTTTTTTGACTTCTTTTTCCTTGCCACTTGTTTTTTCTTTTATATCTTTTTGCCTTGGCACTATCATTCCCACTTCGTATAAAATGACAAGTCCCAACCTCTAGTGTTCCATTTTTGACTAACAAAACACTAGCCACAGCCGGCCCAGTTTGGATTATTTAGCTCTAGAAAGAGTAATTAATGCAAAGAATTAACCAGTTACGAACCTTATCCTCATCATCAACACCCTCTCTTTGAGGAGACCACACAATGAGGCTCATTCAAACAATCTGGCACGCCAAATTCATGAACCAAATAATCAGCCCCATTGCTTTGTCTGGTTTTAAACTTATTTTCTCAAACTCGTTTTAGTTTGGTTTGAAAAACGTATAAAATTGAAGAAATTTAGTTCCATTTTGTGCTATATCTTTAAAAAATATTATAATAGAGTTTGTTATATGTAGTAAATACCTTATTATATGGTTAAATGTATTGATATTAATGGTTAGAGTGGTTCAGTTTAAATCCCTTCCTTAGAAACAAGCCTTTGATGAATTAAGAAAAATTAGCAATAGATGTTAGTTTGCTAACTTTAATTACTAGGAATGGCAACGGCTGGGAATAGGATGGGTACCGATGTATAGAAAATCTATCCTCATACCCGTTCTCGTATCTAAACATATATTAATGTTAATCCACATTTTTTTTCTCATCAAATAGTATTATATCTATTTTTATACCCGTATACCTATTTAAACATAATTTATTTTTTAAAAAAGATTAATATATTGTTAACACATTAATTTTTGAATATATTTTTTAATAAATAGTTTTTCCAACACACACACATATTATACTAGATATGAGGTACATTAGATATTATAATCTTCATACATATAAAAATCCCTAAACCAATCCCTATCTTTATTTTGTAATATTCACATCTGAGCTCAGTTGGATAAAATTTGTGAGTACTTCTCCCGCATAAATAAAATTACCATTCCTACCAGTTACTAGCCACTGAATCATGTTTAGGGATGGACATGTATCCTACAAATAACTAAACTGGTTAAGTTTTTGGTTTGAATCTGTTAAAAAAATATTCCACTGTTAATTTCAAGAGAATAGAATATTGCACTCGGTAGAGCCTTCTATTTTGTATTCTTTTTTTGGTCTTCAAATCAATTACAAGAGAACTTCGTCCAACATGTTGTACAAGCACCACAGCAGAGAGAGAGAGAGAGAGAGAGAGAGAGAGAGAGAGAGAGAGAGAAAGAGAGAGAGAGAGAGAGAGGTAGGTTTAGGATACTTACATATTCACCTACTACAAATCACTTTCTTGTATATAATTAAATTTTTTATTAGATGACAACAACAACCGCAATAAAGTCTCTATCAATTTATATAATTATATGTTTTATTAAATAACCACAACAACCACAATAAAGTCTCTGTCAATTTATGGTTAAAGGTTCAATCTAATAACAATGTATAGTCTCTGTCAATTTATGGTTAAGAGGTTCAATCTGAGAATGAGATGTCGGGGTAACATATTATAAACACGGCCTACAAGCACTATTCCCATGTTGCCCTCTGCCTCATTGACTTTATTACCCCCACATGATAACTTTCTCTACCCAAGAAGTCCTTTGTCGGAAGCTCACATTTTTTGCGTTTTGTTTGTTGAAATGACTTGTAATATACTTTTTTAGATTCCGTTCAGTGGTTAAGTTTCTTCCAATTCAATTGTTTAATGCAATGAGAATGTGCCACGTTGCTCTATGTTCACAGTGATTAAGCCTCTTTTTTTGTATAGAAAAAGAAGGATAATTTCCAATATTTTAGCTTCTCATTCATAGTAGTTTAATTTCATCTTTAATATTTTTTTTTACCAATTACTAATGCCACGAAGAGATTGTGCTTATTGTTGCTTCACTATAGCTTTTTCAATACTTCTTATCCCTTTTATCTCACTTAACTTATTTTTCTCGCATTATGTTCTTCACGGATTTTGCTTATGTAAATCGGGTCCTATTGCTATTTCCAGTCATAATATATAGTAAGGTAACCACAACCATATGAATGAAAGAGAAAACACACACATGGTTGGTCACCAAGAACAAGCGCCTGAATGGGACAAGGGAGTGCATTGTCAAACAGTCAATGGTTTTCCCAACCTCCTCCCATTTTGTGATCTACCTCTCTTATCTGGATACACGAATAATAACACAATAAAAAATTGAGTTGGTAGCCTCATTCTGCTATATAAATACCCTTGCCCCTGCCTCCATGACGCTCACAAGAAACCTCTTATAGTCCTTTCATCAGTGGCCAATTCTAAAGAGCAATAGTTACCAAACATGAGGGTGATAAAAGAGAGTTCCAGAGTTATCAAGCCAATCTACGAAGGCACTCCTCCCTCAACCACACACCACATTCCTTTAAGTGTCTTTGACAAAGTCACCTACAACACCCATATAGCTGTGATCTATGCCTACCGCCCCCCAACGCCACCCAATAGAGCCTTAGAGTTGGGTCTCCAAAAGGCCTTATCCGTGTATAGAGAATGGGCTGGGAGGCTAGCTAAGGACGACAAAGGTGAAATTGTTATTCTTCTCAATGATGAAGGTGTTAGGTTTGTGGAGGCCTCAGTGGATGGCACTCTTGACCAAGCCATGCCATTAAAACCCTCACCATCATTACTTAGCCTCCATCCCAGTACGAAAGGTGTGGTAGAATTGGTACAAGTTCAGATCACTAGGTTCACATGTGGCTCCATGGTGGTGGGCTTCACAGCCCACCACCTTGTGGGTGATGGCCAATCTGCAAGCAATTTCTTGGTTGCTTGGGGTCAGGCTTGTCGTGGAGTCAAGATCAACCTAAGACCATTTCAAAATCGTAACATTTTTACTCCTCGAAACCCCCCAAAGTTTGAGTTTGAGCATAGAGGTGTTGAATTTATAAGTAAGAAAACTCAAAAAGATTATGCAATTGATAATAATGTCATAGATGACATTGTGGTGCACAAAGTCCATTTTACCCTCGAGTTTCTAGCCAAACTCAAGGCAAAAGCTTCGTCCATGAATGGTGAAAACAAGCCTTATAGTACTTTTGAGAGCTTGGTGGCTCATCTTTGGAGGGTCATAACCAAGGCTCGATCACTCAGCAGTCATGTGACCACTCATGCTAGAATCTCTGTCAATGGCCGAGCAAGATTGAATCCTAGAGTCCCCAATGAGTATTCTGGGAACTTGGTGCTCTGGGCCCTCCCGAGAACTAAGGTGAAGGATCTTCTTCGTGAGCCACTACCCTACGCAGCAAAACTCATCCATGACGCTGTTGCAAAAGTGAATGACAACTACTTCAAATCATTCATTGACTTCGCCAACCACAAGGTGGTGGAGGAAGACCTAATTCCCACGGCAGATGCAGACAAGTCCACTCTTTTCCCTAATATAGATGTGGATAGTTGGCTCCGGTTTCAATTCTATGACCTTGATTTTGGGGAAGGGTGCCCTTACATTTTCTTACCATCATACTTTCCTATGGAGGGGTTGATGTTTCTCTTACCATCCTTCATCGGCGATGGAAGTATAGACGCTTTCGTAACTTTGCTACGAGACCACTTGGATTCCTTCAAGCAAATATGCTATTCCTTGGACTAGCCAAAGTGCCACAGTGAGAAATAGTTCCAGTATAAATATTTTGAGATGATGTTTAAGATGCAACAATAAGATTTAGCAACGGATTATGTAAAAATAGTGACAAAAATTTTTTGTCACTAAAGCTATGTTTTGTTACACAGTGAGTTATATATATATATATATATATATATTTAAATTTTTATTTCTTTTCACATTGTTGGCTTTGAAATTTCTGTATACAATCGTAAGTCTGCTTTGTTATAGTAAAGTTATTTTGTCTTTTAGCTCTTACGTCTTGCATGCAAACTACACCCTGAGATTGTTTATGAAAACCTCATGCATTAATAATAGAACGATAATAACTAGATAAGGTTGCAGTATTGATTGGAAGTTGGTCAAACAAATTGTCAACCATCATCATTATCATCATCATCATTATTGAAGGGAACCATTGAGTAGGTGTAAAAAATAAGTCAGTAACCCTTTTATGCGAGTCTTTCAAATTATACAAAATTAACATAGGATTTTGTGTAAAAGAGATAATTTATGTTGCCACGAAAATTTATTAAGAAAATACGAAAACCAGATGACACAATGCAATAAATATTTATGTAACATATTTAATTTAATTTTTATTTTAAATAAATTATTATTAATTTTCAGTAAATATTTAAATGATTTAACATAAACAAAAAGTTAATATAAATTAATAGTAAAACAGCGTGATGCCTAAAGACGAATTCACAACCACAAGTCCTACCTTCCTTTTGTGTAAAGCGAAAGTTTTCCATGGCTGAAAGGTCAGAAAAGACCAGCATCCCACGTGTTGCTTGCCAGCTAACTGGCATTCGCCAAATTCCAACAACTAAACTGTTTCCCGTGGAAAGCACGGGATAGTGTTTAAATTTGATATTATAAATATATAAATTTTTTAATATGCTTCGTTCTAAAACTTATCCAATAAATTGTAATTCTTTTATTTCATCTCTCAATTTTTTAACTTTTACTAGTGTTAAGAGATTTTTATTGTGCTAAATTTAATGAGTTATGTTAAAAATTACATAACCAATACTAAGTTTGGAAGTTAATTTATTAGAGGAAAGGGAAGGGAATGAAAATTGACAATTTTTACTCCACAGTTTTATATATCTACTTACAAAATTATATAAAAATAGAAACCAAATCACATGGTTATTATTTACTTTCACTTTGACTAAAAATATTGAGAGCGGGATAATTTTATAAAACATGTGCATCCCAAAACTCCAAAAAATTCCAAGACAGCAAGTATGGGGTCATTGACAATATAATATGAAAAACAGATTGAAAATTTTTGTCAATACAAATCACCTAATCATTTATTTGATTTCGCTTTGTTTTCAAAGGGAAATAAAGCAATTGAAATTGAAGATTTTGGACAATATAATTTTTATATATCTACTCACACATTAATATGAAAATTAGGAACCAAGCCACTTGGTTATTATCTGCTTTCACTTTGACAAAAAAAATGTTGGGCATAGTGTAAAATCTGTGCATCTCAAAACTCCATAGAGAATTTTAAGCAATAGGTATGAGGCTATCAATAATATAGTATAAAAAATAAGCTGAAACTTTTGCCAATATAAACTACATTGTCATTACTTACTTTCACTTTGCTTTTATAGGGAACTCAAATAATTGAAATAATAAATTTTGTCAATACATTTTTCATGTATTTACTCACAAATTTATATGCTGAATAGAAACTAAACCATATTTGCTTTTATTTTGGTAGAAAATGTTGAGTATGAAGTAATTTTCCAGAACTTGTACGTCCCAAGACTCTATAAAAAACTGACCATTAAAGAACTATTTAAAAACCATAACATAATTTTACATGATATCACAAATTCTAAAATCACATAAATGCTAAAGTTCTAATTATATTTTAGTTCAACTTAACATATATATATATATATATATAACATGATAACACCAATATCATCAATCTAATAAAACATGATATTTCACTCTTAACATGTTGAAAATATATAATGCATGTTCAAAAGTAGTAATTTAAGTTGCCACAAAAATTTATTAAGAAAATACGGTAACCACATGACACAATGCAATAAATATTTATTTAACATATTTAATTTAATTTTTGTTTTAAATAAATTATTATTAATTACAGTAAATATTTAAATGATTTAACATCAACAAAATGTTAATATGAATTAATAATAAAAAGCCATGATACCTAGAGACGTATTCACACCTACACTCCTACTTTCCATTTGTATAAAGCGAAAATTTTCAATGGCTAAAAGGTCGGAAAAGACCAGCATGTCGGTGCGAGTTTTCATGAGAGAGAGAGAGAGAGAGAGAGAGAGAGAGAGAGAGACAACAAAGGGTAATTTTGTCTTTTAAATAGCTAAATGGTCATGGATGTGCAAGAGTCTGTTCCCACATGCCGCTCTCAGCCAACTGGCATGCGCCAAATTCCAACAATTTATGCTTGGAATTACGTTTATGCCTTTTTTTTTGTGCATGTTAAAAAGAATATATATTCATATTTATCTGGAAAAAGTTAACGATTTTAAAAATTTAATGTTTATTGTCAATATATAAAAAACGTAGCTTTGTAGCTTTTATATTTTTATCTTATTTTGTGTTTTATAAATTATTTTACTTTTATATCATAAATCATCTATCTATCTACTAAATATAATATAAAGTTGAGAACAAGGAGAGCACCCCATGGCCATCAAGTATATATATATATATATAAACTTGATGGCCATGGGGTGCTCTCCTTGTTCTCAACTTTATATTATATATATATGGACACCCAGGAACCAGATAATAAATTGAAGAACAAGTAATTTTAAAATGCAGAGATTAAATTGTAAATATTGAGGAAAAAAATTGAAATAAATTGAAGAGGCTAAATTTGAAATACTTACAATATTTAAAGTAACAATTGAATTTGCATTGAACTTTAAAATTTGGGGAATACAATTTTTTGGGAGGATACAGATTGGGGTACAAAAAGGATTGAGGCTCAATTGGTTTTATGATGTGAAAGCTAAGTGATACCTTAAGCAAAATCTAAATGCTCTTTTTAATAGGTAGGCTTTGAACTTTAGACTTAAAATAAAATTAAATACAATTTTGCTACTGCTTTTAACACATGAATTTTTTTTTTTTTTTTGCATGCTTTGATTGAAGAATCTTCACAACTTTGAGATTTTGGCCATGTGATTGCAGGAATTTTTGCAGTTCTTGACTTGAGAATAATATTTCTGCAACCTTGCAGTCTTTGAATTTAAAATTAACTATGTGTTTACTGCAAAAATCGATCAATCTTTCACATGGGAATAGTATCTTTGTCAATCTTGATCATTTATTTGTCATTGGAGCCTTCCACATCTTGCACGCCTTGAATCCTTTGCATGTCTTAGATCTTGCACTGACTTGGTCTTCTCGTAAAGAGATATCTTGTGCATTGAAGAAAGCATTGAAGACTTACAGAAAGCATTGATTGTAGAAAGCATTGAAGACTTTTTTTTTTTTAGCAGGATAATTTAGGCGAGAGTAGATATGGTCTATTCATTTCTTACTTTTACCCTTACTTTTGGCTTTTAAGGAACTAGACCGTTTTGGCGATGGTTGAATAGGTGGAAGGATGCCAAAACAATCATCCTCATTATCTTGAAGAAGATTAACAAAGAGAGATTGAGAAGAGAATTAATGGTTTGTAATTTTTCTTAAATTTTGCTGAGGATAATTCAGTAATATTTTGGGATTTCTGTAAAAGAAATTGTGGGTCACTTACTGTTAGAATGACAGGATAAGTTTGAGAGATTTGGAAAAATTTTAGGAGGTTTTGTGGGAGAACTGCTTCAAAATTGAATTGGTCTCACCACTTGATTTTGAAAGACCTTCCAAGATATGGAAAGTCATGTTGAAAGATAGTATATTCTCAAGATACTAGCCAGGCTAAACAAAATTTGGAGAAAAAATAAAAGAGAATTGGGAATTTGTCACAACTTGAAAAGTTGGATCTGTGACAAGTGTTAGGGTTGGATAAAATCCAACCCCATAAGCCTTTCATATGTGAAAGCTCCTAATTCATTAGCAAATATTAACACTGAATCAAATCTAAAATACAAACATAAACAAACGATGTCTTTACATCAAAAACCTTGTCTGTGATCACTAAACTAACTAAAAACAAATTAATATATCAGGAAAGAACAATAACTGACTACTACACACAGAAACCAGATCAGTTGGAACCATGAAATCGGGATTGACAGACTTCTCTCACGCAATAGGATCAATCGAGAGCATAGAATTTAAGTCTGAAAAAATTAAAGGATGAGTCTGACGACTTAGTGAATAGTAACACGCATTTACATGACAATATACATATATCACATGTTTTTATCATAAAACATAATCTTTCAGCTTATACAACTTATGATGTTCGAAATAGAAAACAAGATGGCAACCACATGGTTTTCCATTACTCATATAGCAAAACAAGAAACATGCCAGGGTCCTGTAGGTGGGAATCATGAGTAGGACTCGCCAAGCGAGAATGCAATTTTTGTCCTTACTTACCACCATCCCTATAGAACTCCCAAATTACAGAGGGTCGAATTTACAGAATCTTAACAAATTTTCCTTACTAATTTCCTCAAACAATTCACATAATGATATAATAGTAAAAGAATCACTTGCTTTAGAAAATTTCCAAACAATGAGAAAATGGCATATATGTCCCTTGTAAGCTTTCATAGCATATTAAATTGTAATTTTGAAATAATTGAATTTATAAACAATTTATATAAAAACTCATCATTTAACAAATATAGAAAATAACAGAGCATATAAATATATTTTACTACTCATGGAGCTGAAGAATCACAAAACCCGAGTTTCGACGATATGACTCAACATGAGTCGAATAATCATTCTACAAACACACAAAACCTTACTTTAGAATATAATATATCTTATCTTTAATTTAA